TTGACTGCTTAAATCTTTTAAAACCTTAAAACTGCCCTTTTATTGGTTGCTCAAGTGATTTTACCCTTTCGCTTGTACTTTGATAACTCAATAATTCTTAAAAATATTGGTTCTCATGTAATTAAAATAGATGGCATGACATACATGTACATATGTACATAGGCTCTTCCTCTCTCACGACGGCAATAAAGATGCCTTCTTTAGCGATGGCATAAAAAAATGCAAATGAATTGTTTTTTGTTTCACTAGGGATTCTTCTTTGCCAATGAGATGACAACAAACTTCCAATAAAGAGCGATGTAGGGTTCTTGTCAAATGGTTGTTCGATGATATGTTGCGTAAGGGAATGGCTTTGCCCATTTTGGTCATTTTGAAAATTTCATTTCATGGCCTGGATTAAACAGCAAAAGGTCTTTGTCACAAATGAAAGTACGAAGAGGTATTTATCACTGGCTCCATAGGATAGGGGAGTCTTTATAATTTACCCAAAAATAAATAATAGTATATACTAAAGTTGGAATGTATCAACTGTATTTGTGCTAAATCCAACCAAGCTCAACATTTTGTTTGAAGATTTCTTATCCCCCACCTAGCAAGACATTCCCAAGGTTGGATTGATAATATTTAGTGGCTATTTGACATCACTTATTTTAAACACTTACTTGAATAAGTACTTAAAATAAGTGATGGGACCACACTACAAGTGGCAAATAAATACTTATTCATGTTTGGCGAAAAAGCCAAGAATAAATACTTATTTTGAAAATAAGTTGGCCTAAGGCTACTTATTTTAAGTACTTATAAAATAAATGTTTATTTCATTTTTGTGGGACAAAACTGTCACCATAAATTTTTAAAAATTCCATCGATTACCCTTGGCACTCTATCGCCTTCTCCATTTGCAGTTGAAGAGCTTCAACGGCGGTGGCCATGTCGAACAAGATGCCCAAATCACCGTTGAAGAAATGCGTCCATGCCAGACAAACTCTGCCTAGCAAAAGAGAGTAGAAAAACTTACAAGTTCCTCATCACAACTTGCCCACCTTCTCACTCTGTTGTCTCAACTTAGACGGGATCTGCTCCTCACACTTGGGTGCCTCACATGCACATCCACCGTGCATTGAGAACATCTCCCGTGAATAATAACTTGAAAGTATGGGAGATGTTCCCAATGCATAGTAGGATGTACGTGTGAGGCGTCCTCTGTGAGGAGCAGATCCGGTCTCGTCTCAACTATGCTTTTGGACAACTCAGACGAGAGTTTTTCTCTGATCGTGTTTCTGAGCAAACTTAATTGTAGTACCTCATTGTCGTTTTGTGCCCTATCTAGTGGCTATCGTCAAAACCGTCATTGCAAATTTGGGATATTTGCAAGTTTGGTCACCAATCACCATTGTCGAACTGACATCTTAATCCCTTTCCTCATCATCTTCATCTAATACAAGCCCATCGGGTGTGATGCCCAAAGTTGGTCAACAGTCGAGCAATGACCCATGTGATAGTATGTATGTATGTATGTATGTATGTATTGTTGTGTTGTTGTTGTTGTTGTTCTTATTATTATTATTATTATTATTATTATGCCCAGTCGGTGTGAACAATACTAAGGGGGTTAAGATGGATAGGTTATATGAACAATATGAATAATAAATGATGGATATGGAGTCAATGACAATAGGAACATGCAGATGAGTATATTATGCATAAAACATTGAAAATAAAGATCAAAAATTATTTTTTAATATAATGAAAACAGAAATTGAAATATTCTTTAATATTGATACTTACAGAGATATAGAACAAACAGGTAGATTCTTAACAGCACACAATCTTACAAAGCTCACCAATAGCACACTTTTAAGATCACTCGGAAAGAAAAACACTCAAACTATTACAAAGTACCTAGAACTTGGAGACTCCTGCACTTCAGAAAATTTTTTGCACACCTTCAACTAAGAGAAGAGCTTCTTATATAGAGGTTGCCGAGACTTCCAAGGAGAGCCAGCCTAGAGCCACTTTATTCAATCTTATCTCTAAGGACTCTATAATTGAGATGCCTTTTGACTTTTCTTATTGTGCATCTTAATTATTGAGATGCTATCTTATCTCCATCTTGTCCTATTAGGAACAGTTGTCGAAACTTTTACAATTTTGGATGAGATAGAATCTTCAAATAGTGTAATGTCCTTGGTGCGAGCTGAGAGAACGGACACTTTCAGTCTCGGGGTCCTTTGAGATCCCTTTGATTTTTTTCTTCATCTTTTCGGCCATACGAAGGGACATTTCTTCGAGCTCTACTGGATCCAGATTTGGGAATTCCGAAGCTTGTCCATGTAGGATTCAAGGATAGACTGAAAAATGTCGTCTTTTTCTGAGGTGGGTTTGAGAATTTCTGTGAGATCAAATTTATCCCACCACTTTATTTCAATTTTTCTCTCAATAGCAAATGCTCCGTATTTGTCCATGGGCTCCTGGCAAGGGAAAATGTCATCTGAAGCTTCCCAAGAAGTCCACCAAACATATGTCCAGTCGGGATATGGGCCTTGAAAATCTTCAGAGAAACGTATGAACCATGAATGTCTAAAGATGGGATTCTGCAACAGGAAGACTCTATACCAGGCGTCTTGATAATCCCAGTAGTTAAATATCTTGGGTCTTCTATCAATAGGCTTAGTAATGAATTTTGGCTTACTAGCATCACCCCAAGCAGATAAAGATATAAACTTGACTATTACTAACTTGGAATAAGCTAGTTCAGATTTATTTGGATCTCTGAAATAATGTTGAATTCGCGTAGTTCCAATATGGAGGATAATTTCTTCATAATATTTCTGGTCTTTATTTTGACCACAAATTGTGAAATGATGCCCGTCTAAGATGGAGAGGGCTAGGTGCTAAAGTGCTCCTTTTGGGATGACATGAGAGGAGACGGAGGCAGCTTCTTCTCGGGAGATGATTACCATGAAATCTGAAGAATTAGGAATATATTGGCTGGAATTAACCTCTTCCATAGCTAGAGATGGATCCCTGATTAGGGGAGATATTGATGGGGACTGATTAGTCCTAGAACTTGATCCGATCTCATAATTAGATCTTAGATTGAACTCATTAATTCTTTTAGAGTGCTTGGAATTAGGACTTATAAGAAGACGAATTCTTCTGTCGATCATCTTCAATTAGATAACCTTGCAAGAATTCCCTTGTTAGAAAATCTGGCGGAGCATTTTCTGATCCTTTAATATATTTAATATCAAAATCGAAAACCAATAAAATAACTTGCCATTTAGCAAAAATTTGCTTTGAAATCAGGTTTTTGACATCCTTTTCCAAAATTTCTTTGGCAGATTTACAATCAATTTGAAGGGTAAAATGTTAGTTTATAAAATCACTTTGGAATTTAGTGATGCAAAGAACTATGCTAAGCATTTCCTTTTTTACAGTGGAATATTTTTTCTGGGTATCATTCCAAGTTCCCGAGGTAAACCAGACATTCCAATTTCTAGTTGCTTATTAATATATAATATAAATTATTTAATAGTCCATGTGTGTCATGAGGGGTAGAGTTGTCATTTTTATCAAAATAGTTCAATATAATATTCAACATTAATATGCATTTGTTAAGTCAGGATATAATTGTCATTTAAAAAAATAAATACTTATTGGTTAAGTGGCTTACTAGACTGTACCCTGAATCAAGGTTCAAAATATCGATACCCCCGATACGCCGGTATGGGCGTATCGGGTGAATCGATACAGCTTTTTAGTGTTTTTTTATTATTATTTTTCTTTTTTTTTTTGCTACTGGTTCAGGGGAGCCTGTTTAGGCCTCCTCCACACCCTGAACTGATCAAACCCCCGATACACCCACTGTAGGGGCATATCGGAGGGGTCTCGGAATGATACGTATCGATCAATACTTTGAACCTTGCCCCGAATAAGTATTTAAACTAAATATAAATGGTTTAGAAAAGAAGTCCCCAAACACCAATAAGTATTTATTCAAATAAGTACTAATAAAATAAATACTTATTTCTCAAACCACTTATTCGCCAAACATACTTTAATCCAACAAAATAAAGTTCGGTTGTTTGGGGATAGATTCAAATTTGCCCTCTCCTATTGAAAGGGCCCATTATGCTTGAAAGCCCAAAAGGGATGGAGACACAAGCTTTTTCTTTGGGTTCATGGGACTACACGATGCAGGCACACAAATTTTTGTGTGCACAAAACATCGGAAACAATCGAAGCGAAAAAAGGAGAGTTGTGATGGGGCGAGTCATTCCAATAAGCTGACTGATCGGCTTTTCAACTACAATCGAAGTTGGACCCAATATGTTAGGGATTGTTCAGTACTGTGCCCATTTCGTAAATAGTGTGCACATTTTTTTTTTTTTTGGTTACGTTCGACACTACTGTGGAAAGAACGTTTGTTTGAACATAGCTCAGTTCGGTTTAGTTTATTTAAAAATTGTCTAACAGAACGTCTATACTACAGTGCAAAACACTTCAACAGAATGAAGCGTGGTTGTGGGATGGTTTCAACTTTCAACCATATCACAGTACGGCCCAATGGACTGGAACAACCCACAGTATCGAACATTTAGTAATTAATGGCATCTAAATGGGATTTGGCTACCCCTAATCCATAAACGTCCACAATTAAGGTGGTATTAGTTTGTTGTTTAAAAAATAAAACATTACCCTTTTTTTAAAATGAAACAATACAAAAGATGACATGCTGTTTTGTTCAAGGTTCTCTTTTGAACTACAATATTTGAGTAAGCAAAGTTCGTGTGGTTGTTAATGGGAGCCCAAAAAAAATACCAAGGAATAACTCTTATACCTACCAATTTTTTTATATAAATACTAAACCATCCCTTTCACCTAGGGATGCCAATTGCACTGGATTTGGTCCAATCCAATATTGGTCCACTTACAAAGAAATTGGACCCAATCCAGTCCAAACTCATACAAATCAAATCCAATCCCGTCTAATTAAAATGCAAATAGAGCAGATTGGGTCCAATACAATCCAAAGTGAATCAAACACCAAAATATCATGAGAAACCCAGAAAATATATAGAAAACTACCACAAGACCTGCTACAATCCAATCCAAACAAATTAAAATGCAAATGGACCGGATTGGATCATCCGAATGAAACACCAAAATTAGATGAAAACAAAAAAAAAATATTTAAAAAATACAAAAATATATGCTCCAATCCAATCCAATTAAGATGGAAATGGACTGGATTGAGTCCAATCCAAGTACAGTTCATCCTTTTTAACAAAAAAAACTCATCAATAAGACAACTTTCTCCCAATTTTTGCAGTATTCCAAGCTGCTGGAAAACTCTCCATGTTGTCATAACATTTAGACGTTGAATCTATTACCCTGCAAGATGAAAACCAGATTCAAGTGATTCTCTCCCTCCTACAATACAAACCATTCACCTTTCAAAAAGAAATAACACAAGTAAAAGGATTAGGTGAAACCCACCACAACAGAGGATCCTTCAGAAGGGAGATCACGATTATCTTCCTGCTACTAGTAATAGCAAATGACACAGATATTTGAACATGAGCATTAACCATAAAAAATGAAGTCTGAAATAACAACAATGGATCAAGTGGAGGAACTAAGGGTCCGTCTGATTCGCAGTCAGAATCGGAACCATAATGGTCTTTCCCATAGTCTGTTTGGTTCAGACAGGAATCCGAATGGGAATTGGAATCAGCTGGAATGAGATTTCATTCGGGAGGGGGAGGGAATGACCATTCCCTCAAATGAGGGAATGCCATTCCACCAAGAATGGAAATTCCAATTCTGCCCAACCAAACACTTGGAATGGCCCATTCCAATTCCGATTCCAGACTCCTATTCCCGAAAACCAAACGGGACCTAAGGCTTTTTCTGATGCTAGTTAGATCCTGTCAAAGATAACTAGGAGTGATCCATAAATTAAGACATAAAAGGAAGAACAAGCCTTGATAATAAAGAAAGAACAAAAAAAAAAATCACAAGAAAGAACAGTGGCATTCGGAGAGGAAGGTGATAAAACTCAGACTACATGTTCGTATAAGTTCATATCAGAAGAAAGAGAAGAGAGAGAGAAGGAGAAGAGAGAGAGGAGAAGGAGAAAAGGTTACAGCCGAACTAGAGAGAAAAATTCAAATCCCTCTAGTCGGCCTTTCTTTTATTTATACTCTTCTAAGGTATACAAGAATTACCATTGTGCCCTCACTTAAGTGAGAGCCACATCAACTGAACAATACATATATAACTAAACATAAAATGACTATACTACCCTTGTACAGTTGGCTCTAACACTCCCCCTCAAGCTGGTGAGTATATGTCATATAGTCCCAGCTTGTTACATATGTAGTTCACTCTTCCCCGATTCAACCCTTTGGTAAACAAATCTGCCCATTGATTTCCTGTATTCACATATGCTGTACTTATCACTCCACTAAGCACCTTCTCACATACAAAGTGGCAATCCACTTCTATGTGCTTCGTCCTTTCATGAAACATTGGATTAGAAGAGATATGAACTGTAGCTTGATTATCACAGTATAACTCCATAGGAGTGTCAATCGAGTATCCCATCTCCTCTAGTAGATGCTTCAACCACACTAGTTTGCATGTTGTGTGTGTCATAGCCCTATATTCAGCCTCTGCACTACTTCTTGCTACCACTGTCTACTTCTTACTCTTCCATGTCACTAATTTCCCACCAAGAAAAGTTCAATACCTTGTAGTGGACCTTCTGTCAGATATGGACCTGGCCCAATCAGCATCCATGTCTCCCTCTATCTCAAGATTTCCTCCACTCTTATACAACAAACCACAACCTAGAGCACCCTTCAAATACCTCACAATCCTTAGGACTGCCTCCTAGTGTGGGATTCGAGGGTTCTGCATAAACTGACTCACTACATTGACCGCAAATGAGATATCAGGTCGAGTGATGGTTAGGTAATTAAGCTTACCCACCAACCTTCTATACCTTCCCGGATCCTTAAACTCCTCACATGTATCACTACCCAATTTAACATTCAGTTCCATAGGTGTTTCAGCTGGTCTGGCACCCAACAACCCTATTTCTTCTAGCAGATCAAGAACATATTTCCTCTAGCACAGATTAATACCATTCTTGGACCTCGCAACCTCTACCCCTAGGAAGTATCTTAATTTGCCAAGATCCTTTTTCTGAAAGTGATCATGCAAGCAAGTCTTCAACCTATCAATTCCTGGTCTATCACTGCCTGTGATAACAATGCCATCTACATATACCACCAAGAGAATCTTCCCAACATTTGATTCATAGCTGAATACGGAATGGTCAACCTGACACTGTTTCATTCCAAACTTCTTCACCACTTCGCTAAATCTCACAAACCATGCACGAGGAGATTGTTTAAGTCCATAAATATCCTTCTTAAGTCTACATACCTTCTCACCCTCCCCCCGAGCAACAAACCCAGGTGGTTGCTCCTTGTACACCTCCTAAAGAAAATCACCATGTAAAAAAACATTCTTGATGTCAAGCTGAAACAAGGGCCAATCAAACATAGCAGCAAGAGAACTCAGAACACGAACTGACCCAATTTTGGCAACCGGAAAGGTGTCTATGTAATCAATACCATACTGCTGTGAATAACCTTTGGCAACTAACCGAGCTTTCAACCGTTCAACACTCCCATCAGGTAAGTATTTAACCGTGTACACCCACTTACAGCCGATAACATGCTTACCAGGAGTTCTTCTTCCATTGCTTGGCTCCACCCTAGAGAAGTGAGGGCTTCCTGGACATCCTTGGGAACAGAGACAGAGGATAACATAGAAACAAACTGTCGATGGGAAGCCGAAAGGAAAGATAAAGAAACATAATTGGAAATGGGGTGGAGAGTGCAACTGTGTTAACCTTTCCGCAAAGCAATAGGAAGATCAAGGTCAGAACTTGGGGTGGGATCAACTGCCAGATCTGTCGACGGTGACGAAGCTGGGGGAGGAGCCGGTGATTAAGCTGGTGGTCCTCTCTCAAGTAGCTACACTGGAGGCAAAGACTGGGTCACAACTGGAACAAGAGGAACGGGAAAAGTATCCGACCTGGAGAAGAGAGGAACAGACTCAAAAAATGTAACATCAAAACACACAAAAGAACGCCGATAACGGGGATTATAACACCTATACCCTTTTTGAGTCCTGGAATAGCCAAGAAAGACACATTTAGTGGATCTATCATCTAACTTGTCCACTCCAGGCCCAAGATTATGAACAAAACACACACATCCAAAAAACTCTAGGAGTAAGGGAAAAATGAGACAACATGGGAAAGAAAACAGAGAAATGGGACTGACCTTCAAGGATAGACATGGGCATGCGGTTAATAACAAAGTAGGATGTAAGTACAGCGTCACTCCAAAAGGTGACGGTTCTTTCTTTCAGCCACCCCATTTTGTTGAGGGGTGTAAGTACATGAGGTTTGATGGATAATGCAATGTTGTTCCAAATATTCTTGAAAGGGTGTCGAGAAATACTCACGGCCATTATCAGAACGAAGAATTTTATATGTACACCAAATTGATTGTGAATTTCAGCATAAAATTTCTAGAAGATAGAAAACAATTCACTCTTTTCTTTCACAAGGTAAACTCATGTCATCCTTGAATAATCATCAACAAAAATTACAAAGTACTTGTAACCATTATAAGACACTACTCTGTTTGGACCCCAGATGTCTGAATGGACTAAAGAAAAAAGACTCGATGTACGACTATCAACTCTAGGACTAAAGGAGACATGATGTTTCCCAAACTGACACGACTCACAATGTAAATTAGAAAAGATGACTCAACGATGGAACAAGTAACTGAAGAGCTCTAAGCGACGAATGACCAAGTCTGCAGTGCCACTGATGAGGGGAGAGAGATGACTGAAGAGTTGTTGTCGAACCACCTCCATCAAGGTAATACAGTCCACCAGCTTCATGCCCTCCACCGATCTTCATCTCCGTCTTGAGATCCTGAAACACACAAGAGGAAGGGTAAAAAGTTATTGAGCAATTAAGAGACTTTGTCAATTTACTAACAGACATCAAGTTAAAGGGAAACTTGGGAACATATAAAACTAAGGAGAGGGATAATGAATCTGTGTCAACATTACCAACACCACGTATGACTGATGTAGAGCCATTGGCAAGAGTAACAGATTGGGAATTGGAGGACGGAAAAATGGATGAAACACACCTGGAGTTCCAGTCATATGATCGGAAGCTCCAAAATCTATAATCCAACGGGAAGGTGTGGATGCCAGACAAGCCATACCTGTGTGTGCAAGGGTAGTCGTGTTCTGTTGAGATGTACCCTGAATGAACCGCTCATACTCATCTCGTGAAACACTCACCATCTCCTTTCTGGAAGTATCTATAGATGTAGTGGGGATCTGATCAGTAACTTGAGATTCTTGTCTTGAGCTACCACCATTTACAGTTGCATGATTTGCCCAAGTTGAAGGTGGGCCATGTAGATCATAGCAAAAGTTGATAGTATGTCCCTTCATACCATAATGAGTACACCTTCTCTAATTATTACCACGTCCCCTACCACGGGCTCCCCCTAAGTCTCATTCTCCAACATGACCACCACCACAATTATACATGCCACTACCACCACGACCATACATGGGTCCACCACCACTACCACGACCATGCTGACCTCCTCTACCACCACAACCTCCCCCTCTCGTAACTGCAAATGCAGACCTATCTAACATAGTGGAAGTCTCTGTGGATCCAACTGAAATCCTCCGAAGACGAGCAAACACTTCCTCAAGAGAGGGAAGAGTCGATCCACCTAGTATCTGTGCCCTTACGGGTTCATACTCAGACTTCAGCCCTACTAAAAATCTGGTCACATTCAACTGCTCTCTCTGTTGTAGCTGAATTTTTTACATCAAGTGTAAGAGGATGATAAACATTCAACTCATTTCATAAATTTCTCATACTGGCATAACAATCCTCAAGACTCTGATTCCCTTGTTGTAGATTGAAGTACTCTTGGTACAGTTGGCAAACCCTAGTAGTGTTATCTTATCCAGAATATAATTTCCTTGCATGATCCCAGACTTCCTTGGTTGTATCTAAAAACATGAAGTTCACACTAATTTTGGACTCTATGCCGTTCCATAGCCAAGTCATAATTTGAGCATCCTCCTGCTCCCATTCATCATATCCCGAAGAATCAATTGGGGGTTTATCTTCCCTCACATGTTTCACTTTCTTTTTGGCTTTCAGGAAAACTTCAACAAACTTAGCCCAAGGGACATAATTCTCATCATTCAATTTTATAGGGGTCATATGCACATTCAAATACTCAGAAGGCACCATCACA